GACGCTATCTTCATATCGTTATTAAATTGTTGTTGACATCAAAAACACCGTAATAAGCAGACGTAAAGATTTTATGGCCAAACACCAACCCCAAAAGAATCGCTGTTAACGATTAGAAGTTGAGAATTTCTTTATCGCCCACTTCGTTTGAACAAAATAAACAACCAAGCCCCAACATTAAAGAGTATTTACTTGATAAAATCATAGAGTTCCACATCAAACTAATATTCAAACAAAGGAGATTTCTGAAAAGAAAGTAAATTTCCAAATCTCTTTGAAATTAGATGGTTTGATTCTTCTTATTGTGTCATTTTAAGTATCTAATTCTGCTAGCCACTGTCTGAATTAATAGTTCTGTCTAATATAAATAAGAAGAATCCATGGTCAGAACTGTACAAATCTGTTATACGCGAGGAAGAGATTGGTAGTGGTTTTTTGGGGCTGGTGTTCGGGGCACTAAATATTCTTGCTTTCTGTCAAGATACTACGGGTTCATATGATACAGTTTCTCATGTACTTCAATTTTTTAATATTATTTATATTTCATAAATTTAAATTTTTTTTTTAAAAATTAACATTTTTAAACATTTTTTTAACTTGAAAAACAAAGATAAAAAATTTTAAATTCAAACTTTTTATAAATTTCTTTTTTATTCAGTTTTTCCTCTCTCTAAAAACAATTTTTAAATTTTTACTACAATAAAAATCTAAACTTATCACTCATGAACAATACAAAAAAAAAAAATCAAAAACTCCAACAAACTGCAACAAACAAGCTCTACATTGTCATTCATGCCAATAAAAAATCAACAGGGCTCACGGATTTGTACATTCTTGCTTTGTTTTGCTGGGGAGATAACTTCCAGAGACACAGATCCAATTTAAAACTAAGTCAAGTCACTAATATTTCAAATTCTGAAAATCAGTGACTAAAATCAAAATTAAAATAAGTTAAGAGTGACTAGTTTTTAGAATTTTAAGTTTCAGCGACCAAAATTCAAGTTAAGACTTAAGTCATGAAGTTTACCCCAAAATTTTAACCCTTCTCAGTTCCTGTTTAGACCAATCCTCCAGGTATCTTCGTACGCAATTACATATTAAAATGCCTTTGTTTTTCAATGTTACCAACAACATGGCAAACCTTAATAAATGCATACAATCGGCATAATGTTTATGCTTAAATCAAACAAAAGGAATGGAATGAAAAAATAAAATAATGAGCTTTACCTTTTACTTTTAGGGAAGAAAAAAAAAAACTCACGTATTACACTGATTGCTGATTGACTGGAAAGAACTATAGAGGATTACATTTCTGGACGCGGGATGAGAATCCACCAAGCAGGATTTCACGTAAGAGATAAATAATAGTTTGGATTAGCAGGGAATGCACTATCACGACACTGCAAATGGTGCAGCTGAACAAAAATATTGGCCAAAAGAAATAAATTCCTACACAGATTCGGGAACTACCATTGGCCAAAAAACAGATTCAGGAACAACCAAAGCATCTTCTGATGGAGAAAAAAGGGGATGGTTCTGGGGATGGTTCAGGCTCCGGGTTCTTGTGAGGTAGATGCTTGCGAGGTAGATGCTTAAAGAATGCTTTCACTGCCCCGCTTACCCCATCCTCCTTCTCCATTGCCTTGGCAAGTTCAACTGCCTGCTCTTTCACCTGACAATGATTATGGTTAAGTTCAAGGCTACTTTCCCCTATTAAAATACATCACCAGCATTAATTTTCTAGAAACTTTGCAGAGTTGGACAGATTCATTCCAGTTTATGGGTGGATTTAATGTGGTAGAAATTTCCAAGTTTTAAATATATTTATATTTGCAGAGAGATGTACCAAACACTCAAATTGAATGTATTAAAAAAAAAAGAATCAGAAGCTCTACAAATTACTGACATATGGCTGTCTCCTTCAGAAGATCCCCAGTCATTTTTTCAACAATGCCCAAACAAATACAACATTGGAAACACATATCATATTGAAATTCAAAATTACCTGAGGTCTCAACATGAATTTTATTGCATCAATTAATTTCTGAAGTGAGAATTCATCAACAGGTATGGGTGGAGGTCCTAGTCCTCTTGCGTGCACTTGCTCTCCCCAGAAAGGTTGGTCACCAAAGAAAGGTACAATAGTTGTTGGACACTACATTTGCAAAAACATTGAAGGATACAAAATAAGGCAGCAAGGAGCGACAAAGAACCCAAAACCACTGGAACATTATAAAAGCAAAATAAAGTCAGCTGCGTGGAACAAGGTAAATTCTCGGTGATTACCGCAGCCTTAAGGCCAGCAGCTGTTGTTCCAGCACCTCCATGATGAACCTGAAAGCATATTGCATAAAACAATATGATCATCCAGAAAACAGAATAGGTGACTGGGCAGATAGAGGAACCACCATTGAGGCAAAAGAGAATTTCATGTCAGATTTCCTCAAAGAGATTTAAAAGATACAATTTTGGAGCCCATAATGGTAGCATTTTTGCTTGTCCTCTAGGATCTATCTGAAGTGCAACTAATTTTTTGCTCAATGTACCATAATTTTTTCCAATACCCATGTTACATAAAGAGGAAAAAAAAAAAGTCACCATTTTTATACCCAAATACTTAGCTTGTTCGGTAATCTTTATAATTTCCATCCATAGATCTTTATGAATAATGGTGGTATCCAGAACTGAACAAAAATTAATGATCATATCTTGCAGAAAAGGCCATTTCTCAAACAAAAAACAGTTTATTGTCATGATTCCCCAGCCAAACCATCAACTACACAGCATAAAGAAGCTTTTCTGTGTCCCAAAAAAATAAGACCCTGGCTCTGCATTGAGATTAATCTATTTGATTACAGGATAAATCCTCTATTGATCCTTCACATATTATTATACAAACAGTAATCTAATAACATTGACAAACTGTTACTGCTTAATGCCAATGGATCAGATGGTACTTTAGAAAGAGAAGTTTGTCCACAATAATATTAACTCTAAGACAACTGAACTCCGTTGTCAGGGAAGGGAATCCATAACAATTACCAACCATGCCAAGTGCTGCAAGAATGGCTGGCTGGTTTCACCAGCTTGGGAAAAGCCTAGGCTCATTCAAGTGTCTAATTACTTCTCTGCTAGCTTGTCTTTTAATTCTTTTGACTAACCAAACCTTAAAGAAAGAGTGTAACCATTAAACACCTTTTAATAAAGCTAGAAGGGGACGAAGATTACATTATGTTCCAAACCCTAAATGAAAAATTCACCTAACCTGGGTTGGCCTGGTGTGAGCCATCAGCTTACTAAGAATGAAAAGAGAAAAAAGAGGCTGGAAGTACAATAACACAGATCACTAAAGAGAAGAGATAAAAATAGAAGCTGTCCAGACATAAACTGACAAAAAGAAAGAAAAATCTGGGCTGCCTTAGTCTTAATTTATGTACTTACCACTGCCTTGCATTGCAAGAATAGCCAATCATGGGGGCAGTTGTCCAATAAGTAAATGAAGTCCTTAGGTTCTGCCACTGGAAGGGAAAAATAGATTACATAGTCATAAAAGCATGCAAGGTGAACAGAAATTGCTTCAAGCAGGGAGATTTAATAGGACACATTTAAAGGTCCAATAAAATTTTGAAGCCAAACATATTAACGTCCAAACACAATGCAGGAAATAGGGACATACAGTTACCAAGGCCACCCCAGCCTTTGTTAATGATACCCCTTTGTTCAGTTTTTTCCAATGCCTCCACAATTATTTGGGTCATTTTTTCTGGCTCTTGAACCGGCTGACATGAAAAAAGGTAAGCATTTATAACATTTTATAATTAAAAAATAATAATAATAAGAAGGCAAGTTAGAATTCAAAATGGCTTCCAATTTCTCAAGCAGGCTTCACTAGAAAAATAATACACTTTATAAAAATAGAATATATTATTTATGGAATGTATGTGTGTGTGTGTGCATGTGAGAAAGAGAGAGAGAGAGAGAGAGAGAGAGAGACTCACAAGGCTGCCAAATCCAATATATATAGGCTTTGACCCAGCTTCAAGCCACTTAACAAGTGATTCGGGGGGCTCATAATTTGATGCAAGATCAAGGAAGCAAAATCCCACTACATCAACCTTAGGTCCCCAATCTGGAAAGGAAGGAGGAATGTTTTTGTTCTTCAATTGGAGATTCATGCTTGCATTTTTAAGAAAGTGTGAAATCTTATACTTTAGTCTTTAAAGAAATATCATTCTACTGTATGGCATGACAAAATATAAACAAAGATATCTAACATCGTAAGTATTTGCTGAACAAAACTACTGAATCAAACCTCAAACTAAACAACCTTTTGGTTTAGGAACAAGGTGAGGACTCCATATATAGCCATGTGGAACCTCAGAATCAGAGCCTTGGGAACCACTTAAATATGTGACGGGCCGAAGCTTCAGCTTTTTCTTTCTAAGATCATTAATCATGTCACGTATTCCAAGCCAAATCAAGGAGTTAACTATTTGATATGAAAGCTGCAAAAAATTACAGATGGATAGAAATCATATAAAGGTAATAAATTGAAGGAAATGAAAAGAGCAATATCATGATTAAAAAGGATCAAATTCACTGGGCTTACTCGATATCCAGCTGACTGCTTGACATGGGACAGAGGGTGTGGAAACTCACTAGTAGGCCTGGAGAGAACAATATATGAATTGGACATGGCAGTCTAAGATTTCACATCAAAAGCATGCAATAAAACAACTGGCAAATAACAGAAATCAATTTACTTTCTGTTTACAAGAAATCACCAAATTCCAATTACTAATTTTAGACTTTTAGAGATGTTAAAGCAAATTAACTCAGCAAGATCACATTACCCAGGCAAGACTTACGTCCATGGCATTGTGAAAAATATATGAAGTGGTACTTTTAGCGCCTCTGCCACGTGGACATGCCCTAAAAAAACATATGCAAGTCTGTATTGGAACAATGAATAAAAAAATATACAAGTTGCACAAATATCTTTAAGATACAACAAAAAAATTCAGCAGAAATCAAAAAGAATTTAGCATGATTTTTTTCCATCCAAACCTTCTCAGACAAAAGATTTAAAAAAAGAAGAAGAAGAAGAAGAAGAAGAAGAAGAAGAAGAAGAAGAAAAAGGAAAAGGAAACATACAAGTGCAAAGTTAAAATAACAGCAACATGAAAAAGCAGAATTTAAAAAGTAACCTACAGTAAGCATAAAAGTAGATTTTTACACTGTGAAAGAGTCATATAGAAATAAACGATGTATCCATGACATTAATCATTTCAAAACATAGTAGGTTTATGCCCTTTGCTGCACATTCTTCATCAAAAACTGTTGCTCCAATGTTCCGTTGTCTAATGGAGAACAGGATAGCCTCATGCATGCTACATTTACCATACAATTATTAGATTCCAGTTTCATGCGTCTGCAATCTAGATGACCGATAAGCTAAAGGTGGAGTGCTATAGAAGTGAATTCACATTGACTTCCCTCAATGCCATCAATAGCCTCATTTCAGTAGTTAATGCTTGAGGAACAAATGCAAATACAAGAAAACCCAGATCAAACAAAACTAAGTGCCAAGTCCTAAAAGACCATAGAATTTCTATAATTCTTACAAGTAAAAATATATAGACACACACACACACACACACAAAAACTCCAACCCAGAAACATACATTTTGAGCAACATTATAAGTTTGAACAAGCATGAAATCTAACCATATGCTGGAGGATTTGCAATGATTGCATCTGCCTTAAAAGCGACATGGGAATCAGGATCTGGTTCATTGCAAGCTGGAAGCAAAGATGATATAATGTCCTTTATCTGATTTCGCTGAACAGGTATTTCAGAAGGGCCTGAAGGCAAGAAGCCTTTATTTTTTACCATATCTGATCAAGAACAAGAAAGAAGGGAGACAATCATCAAGAAGTTAACGGAGAAAACTATAATTGCATCTGACAAGTAACTATAGTAAACTTTATTGTAGAGAGCCACCTTCAAATATTTAGATTGTGGGTTAATTCAGCGAATCCCAATCCTGGCAAATCCTCCACCAGGAAAAGAGAAAGATGATATGACCATATTATCTATCTATCTATCTATATATATATATATATATATATTTCAAAAAGAATGCAGTTGCAATTGGGGATGGGTAAAATAAATAGCCATGGTAAAGCAAATAACAAGATAAGGCACTTATCATTCATAACATACTGTGTCCAAAGCTCTAGATATAGTATATCGTACATATGCAAGATAGAGCAAATATCTGATAAGAGAGTAACAAGGGAGACAGTTTGAAGTTGAGGCAACACACAATAACATGCATGTTCTGAAAATGCAGATAAAATAATATCAAACAAAGATAATAAAATAAGTCTGATTTTGAGTCTCAGTTTCCTCAGTTTCTCTGACCTCAGCTATACCAACCAAGAAAATTGCTATTATTAACTAATATAGAAAATACATATCACAAGTCATTTGGGAGGAAATAAAAGTATTCAGAAAAATTATTCAACTTTACATTCCAAGTACTCAAAATAATAAGAGAAAGACAATATCTTTGGCCAAAAAGAAATTAGAGTTTGGAAGGGTAGAAAAACATCTCCCAAAACACCTTAATTTTATCACACAAAAATGCAAGCTGTCAGATTCAACCTCAATTGTAAATTTAATTCAAAATGTTGCCATTACTTAAAAACAAAATGGATAATGGAACTAGTAACTCAAAAAATAGACCCCGTATCATCCCACTTTTAGCAACCCAAAGAACAGGAATGTTGGTTAGAGCATGGCAAGCCATCTACAATTCTAAACCCCAAAATTTAAAAGAAACTGTACACAGAGAAAGTTTAGACATCATGAAGGATTGGTGCATCAGATGTGCCACAAAAAATATCATGCACTTATAATTGATTGAAAGCTCTTTGCAAAGCTACAAATATGAATCACATCTAGGAGATAAGTGACCACTTCAAAGAGAAACTTAAAAAAATCCATAATTGGTTAAACCAAAAAAGGATTATGAAAAATGGGGATTAGATACATACAACCAGCAAGAACTTTTGGATCTCCTCCTAGGGGATAAAACTCCAACCCAGCCGTCAAGACAAACTCTTTGAAATTTGAATGAGTTGCCAGTCTAACACGATGGCCATAATCCTGCAGATACACATTATAGTAAATTAAAAAAAAGAATTTTCTCCTGGTAATTGCAGACAAATTTATCTTTCTAACACCAAGAACCAGAAAGTAACAATTACACACAACTGTGTGTGTATTATTTAATCTATCTACCATGCAAGATGAATTCTCCTATAAATTCATACCTTCTTTCTCAAAGCTACCATGTCAGACAACCTTTTTTCAATACATATAAGCAACTAATTAAGTACATTATGTTTCCAATTAGCTTTATCAAAATCTGTTCATGCATCACAGTCCTCATCCTGTTTCTTTAGTGTGCCCCACCATACAAGAACAGCTATTAGGTATACTGTTTTGCAAAACTTGACCACTGATATTTGGTACAACCCAATGCAAAGTTCGGAGGCTAGAATATTCTCAGGAAGCCGCGATGAAAGCACAATCAAGATCATGAGTTTAAATAATAGTAAGAAAAAGTTGTTTTTCAACTCAATACAGAAACAAGAAGTATAGTGACATTCTTATAACCTGAAGACGTTTTCCAATTGCAACAAATGGCTGTACATCTCCACGTGTGCCCACAATTAGTATTACTATTTGCAATGGCTGTATGTGCTGAAAGTCTGTATCAAGATCTTCATCTTCTACAACTTCATTATATGCATCTCTCGATCCAACATCAAGAGCTTGGGGCTCAACATCTCCTGGAACTTCAAGTTCCACTGTTCCATCATGTTTCACAGTAGCTATTCTGTTCAACAATTTCAGCTGCAATGTTTCAAAAAGAAATTCAATACCATACCAAGGGACATAATCCTGAGAAAATTAAGCCATAGCATCATCCAAGAATAACAATCACCAAGCTTCTTGTATCTATAATGATAATATCACAAAATGAGACACGAAACAACAATAATGGCAATACTTTAGAAGAAAACAGCACCCAGTAGGGCTGAACTCTTGGCATGCCTGATGAAAAGAATGATAAGGATAAGATACAGCATTCAAACAGATCTCACTACATCTCAACTATTTTGTAAACCAAGTCCCACTTTTGAGATATGTGGAGAGGAACAAGAAAAAAATTTATTAGATGAAAAACCTTAAGCAAATATCTCAAAGAAGTAGACACCATTTCCTTTTCAAGCTGCTGAAGCATAGGTACTTACAACAATCAAACCCCATCCCCACACACTCAGAGACTACTAAATGATAGGAAGCAACAATTCTCCACTGGATTCTCACATGATGAAGCTCATAGATTTCTGATTTCTTCTACAGGCCTTACTTTACTCCTTCAAATATGCTACAGTGTTAAAAAGTGCACAACCCTTTCTGTATTCTCATCAATTTACAGTAGAAAGTGTATTACCAACATCAAAATGGTGATTAAAACAGATGTTGTCACTGTGTATATTTAGCCTCAGAATCAAGACCTTGACTCGCTAAGAAATTAACCTAGCACCCACCCACTTTACTGAGATTTTTAAATATTCATCAAAACAAACTTTGTTCAGAAAGTGATTAATCATCCAATATCCGTAAAGAAAAGAGAAATTGAGCATCAGTTCAATTGGTCTTCCATAGAGATACTACACACCATACATTCTTGAAAATCTCTAATTACTAACTAGGACAAAGTCAACCAACCAGTTTTAATTAATCATTTCCCAGCAACATTCATTGAATTAAAATATTCATGATATGGAGTGGTTGATTTTGGGTTCTTGGATAATAAAGTGATGGATAGATTGATCATTTGAAAAGATTTTCAGTGATCATAATTGTGGAGAGTAGCAACATAATAAAACAAATGAAGAAAAGCATATTTTAGGGGAATAGGAATAGGAATATTAAGCACAACTTATAGTACCTTCTGTTGATCAGGTATTTTATCATCAAAAATTTGAGCTGCCTCTTTAGTGAGAACATTACAATGTCTCTGATTCTGTGTTTTTGATTTCTCCAACTTACGCTGGCTTGAAGATAATTTGCCAGTATTAGAAATGTCCATGGGAGAAGTCTTTGCCTCAGAGGAGCTTACATGGTTAGTGCCTGTCAAGAGTCAGAAACATTGTTAACTTAAATCACATAATTCACATTTATCATGAGGCACAGAAGTGTGAGAAGATGTTAGCTTAATTAGAAAATCTGCATTACTGTGGAAGCTTAAAAGTTGAAAGAAGGGCTACCTAAATGAACAAGATAAGATAAGCCTTGACAAGCAAATAACCACCAACATATTTTAATAGGGAAGTTGTAGTAATGGCATGGATGGCCTAGGACTGGACCATGGTACCATTTCAGAAAAAAAAAAAACCTCTGTGCTTCTTGACATGCTGAACTCCACATAACTTAAGGCTATTTTCTTAACCTCCTTAATGTACTGTGAATCTACAAATTTATTAATTGGATTCTTAAAATCCAAAAAAGTAGTTGAGAAAACACCATGGAAAGCTATCTTCACATAGAACAAAAATTCAAGCTCTTCCCTTTTTAATCGAGGGCCATCATAAATCCTTCTCTGGGTTGGAGAGAAATGGAACAGGAAGACAGGTAGTCAGCTTTCATACAAATCCAATGTTTCATTCTCTTTTCTTTTCATTCAACAATACAAAATCAGGGAAACAAAAATCATCATTCCCTCCTTCCCACATCCTTTGCTTCCCTGTCTTGTTTTCTTTCCCTTGCCCTACCTACCTATAGACATGCTGATGTATTCCAACTCATTTCTACACGATAGTCTTCTTTCTACTAAAAGGAGCAGCATCAAACTGAATTTCTTTTAAGAAACACCAATTTCAACATTATTTAGTGCAAATAATATTAGATGGCGAAACATCATCACTCTTTCTTCTCAAACTCCATAATAATTTGTCTTAATCCAATTAAATGAAACAATGCCCGAACACACAAACAGTCAAATAAGTTAAGCCAAACAAGCCAATTTAGGTTCAAACTAAAGGTCCTCAAAGTTTGGCTGCAAATCATATAAAATTACCAATGAATAGAAAATGAGATCAAATCTTCCCTCAGTATTCAAGCGAGCATCACAGATTCACAGATTCACAGATAAAATAAAATGGAAGTACTCCAAGATCATGATACTCCTTTATTAGATCCTCCTTTAAAATTAGAATAAGTAAAAGGCATAACTATTGAAGTTCACTACACAAACCGATACCAAGCAAGCAAAAATCAGGTCAAAATCCTAACTCAACTAAGTAAACATGCCCTGAAAAACGCTACAATCTAATGTTTAAAATTCTATCCTCTATAAGCCGAAATCTCACACACCCGAAGATTCGGCGTCACCGTTATCCACTGGACCGCTACCAGCAGCAACATAATCCCCAGTAGCCTGGGTGCTAGTGTCCAGCTCTCTGACATCGCTGATGATTTCTTTCTCGATTCTGTCCGGAACTTCTCCAGAAAAGGAAGAACGAGACGAGTGGCTCTCGCGATGTTTAGGTGACGCCGCCATCACCGGCTCCCGCGAGCTCTCTCTGTCCGCACAGCGGTTCTCCGATTGCCGATCCAGATCTGCTTAATTTCGAAGAAAGCACCTTCCCTGTGTTCGTAATTGCGTTTGGATACCGGGAAAGTGGAGAAATGAGAAATCCCAGAGAATCTTTCCCTGGGGAAAACTGGAAACCTCGAGAAGACACGTTCGAGTCTC